GCACGCCACACTTTTCAGATTTTTATTTGTAAAAAATCTTGAACACCACGTTTCATTTTCCTTCCACTTCACAATTATGCAATGGTTTGTGTTGGTCGATCACATAAAATCCCAATAAAATACATTTAAGTCTGTGTTTGTAATGTGACAAAATGTGGAAAATTTCAAGGGGTATGAATACTTTTGCAACACAAGGTATGCTGTGGAATGACCTTGAGAGAGCCGTTCACACCAGACATCCTAAGAATATGGCTGCGCTTAAGCAGTTCTTTGAGAAAGAATGGTCCCAAATTCCTCCTGAAGATTGTGCAAGTCTGATCCACAGCAAAAGGAAACGCTTGCTGGAGGTTATTGCTGCCAAAGGTGGTTCAACCAGTTATTAAAACACTGTTGTCATTACTGTTTCCACCATCACTTTTTGTGTTTAATTGGTGTGTTCAATGAAAGTTCATGACTGTTTTATCAGCTTAGAAATATGGTGTTTGCTGATATCTGTGACTTTGGTGAAGGTCAGATCACATTTCATGACCAATTTATACAGAAAACCAGAAAATTGCAAATAATTTACTTTTTCTTGCAACTGTATAATCGTGTTTTCTTGCTGTGCAAATATTACTAATATAGACCAATATTTAGCAGTATTAGAAAACTTTAATGATTTAGGTTCGGTGCTAGCATGTGGAAGCTTATGTGATGCAGAATTAAATCAAAAGTCAAAGAGCTCACACAGTTTACACTTTCACATTCTGCTAAACGTCCATTAGCTACAGGCAGCTTTAATGGTTTCCCTGAAGGGACAACACAATGCAATTTAGGTGAGACTGAAGATGAAGACCATTTTATTTTGTGCTCTGTGTTACTGTAAAGTGTGCTTCAGTTCTGACTAATTCATCTGGCTAGATAATTATCAAGGAATTTATTTGTATTACATGAAAGAAACCCTTATGTGGTGATAATATCTGTCAAATCTTGTAGACTGCAGGTCACAGAGTACATCTGGTGTTTTGTGGGGTGGGCTACCTGTAAATCCATGTCCGATATTCCAAGGTGAATGAAGTGTTCAGGTCCTTTACTGTAGTAATACGAGTGTAAAACACTATATCGTGTAAAATACTGCATTGCATATTGCATACATTCAACATTTTCTTAATTTTAACAACAAAATATATTTTCAGTATTGTCAATAAAATGTTATTTTAAACCTTACATGTTTCTGTATTTTATAGAAAGTAGACAGTTTGTCATGTATAAAATAACTATTGTTGTTGTGTATGGACACAGACACAGGTGGAGTGGTGTGTGAATATAATCGCATCCACAGGCTGATGAACTGTTCTTCTTCATGTTAGCCATGGGTGGGTGTAGCACAGTTGTCTGTGGTTGTTGTGGTGTAAGTCTTTCTCTGTGTTAACTTGCTTCTCTGTGATCATGTATATGATGGCTGTGTTCCTCCCCATTCGCCAATGTAAAAAAAGGCAACAACTGACCCTGATATTGAATATTTCCATGACAGTATCAAAAATAGAAGAAGCAGCTTTGTTTTATTGTGACACGTACAAAGACAGTGTTTTGCCCAAGGACACTTCGACATGTGGACTGCAGGCACCATGATTCAAACCTTCAACCTTCCGGTTGGAAGGCAACTGCTTTACCCACCACACTAGTGTAAGAAGTACTAACTAATGGCTCATTTCAAATGTCATATTATTGCTCTATTTTTAGGCAACCAAATGAATATTATTGATGCCTTAAGCAACATTTAAATACAGTTGCTTAATGTGGAACAAATCCTAACTACAGCTGGGGAGCTGAATCTATAATGATGCACTAAGATGCTCATATGTTTGTATGCAAGATCTTAATCTCCAAACCAGCAAGTAACAAGCTCAGTTAGGGCCTCTGAAATGTAATGGAGTAGAAGTCTAACATACCAAAAAATGCTATTACTCAAGGAAAATAACTATTAACTAAAATTTGTACTTAGAACTTACTTACTTGAACATTTGAGAACCAGTGTACTTAGAGTAACTGTTTTCCAGCAGTACACAAATAAAAAGGTGCCTACTTACCTACCGTATAGAGGTCACCGACAAGGATTGAAGCTGAGGTTATTTCGTGCATCTTAACCTGATCCAGTGTGCTTCTTATCCCCACAGCCGTTGGATTCATAATAAACTATTTTAGCCATTTTTATACATCTTCCTCATGTAATTTATGGAACTGTTCTAACATTCCAACTACAAATAGTTCAACTGTTTGCTGTCATCTTTACATTTGGACTTCCCTGAGGCTACGGCGTGCACAAAGCAGGGGCCCCTGCAGGAGCCAAGTGGAACCCTGTTCTTTGTAAGTCTTGCTGATCACTGCCTTCACACTATAAAGGAGGATTATAAATCAGTCTGTACAGCTGCTGAGGCTACAGCCCTCCACTCGGACCAAATTACGCCTAATTAAACCAAAGACCGGTAATTATCCAGAATGAGTCCATTAGTCTCTATTTACTGTTTTGTCTTCCCCTCTTGAAGGACTCTCTGTGCTTTAATAAGTCCTTCGTTAGCAACTATTTGATAAAGACATTAATGGAAGAGAACAGACAGATGAGAGCAAAGGTTTCACATACTCCTCATTTCCTTCAATACAGTTTTATCTTTAGAATAAAGCTGCACGGCACAGCTCTGGTTAACGGATGATCTCGTTATGTGATAGGAAAGGCTTCTGAAGCCAGACCTGGTATGTCAGCAGTAAAGGCTTGAATTTAAAACACCACATTGAAATAGGAATCTGCCTGAATATCAGGAGTCATGGTATTAACTAAACCTATACACTTGAATAGACAGATCACTACATTCAAATGGAAACTACAAATGTTTCTGTGAGGGGGCTCTTCCTCTGTGGTTCCAGAGGAAAAGTGGAGCAGGAAAACAAACACATTTAACAATCTCAGATCTGGGGATTATACCAGTATTTCAAAACAAGGAAAGGGTTTTCTTTACTTTGACACTGAGGTGTTAAAAATGTGCATGTCCCCTGTAAAAAGATGCTGTTTGCAGGTTTTATTTATTCATCCATAATGGTACAAAGTAAAGAAAAAGCCATTATGAAATAGCCTTGAATAAACTACTTAAATGAAGAAAATGAACTATAAAATTCACTTATATATTTGAGAATGATTAAATATCATAACCAAGTTGTTTTAATTGTAATTTAATACTAATGCTGCTCCTACTAATAATCATTTATAAACTTCCCAACTTACATTTATTTATTTATGCCAGATGTTTGCTTTCCCACTCAGTACAAGTGGAAAGCATGCTCAAACCTTTGACTGGCAGTGTATATACTTGGCTAACTTCTCATTCAACTGTTTATTTCAGCATTATTTATTTAATAGTGAACACTCAGAGGCTACCTGCCAGCAGCAGAGTAGAACATGGCTGTGCGCCTCAATGCCAATCGTGTAAATAAAGTTGTTGAGTTGAACAGACTATTTACAGGTTAAAGAAAGAAGTGAGAGCTGACAGACAGCACCAAACAGAGTGACAGAGGTTTATTGACAGATGTGCACACACACAATTTAACTTGGGCTTGTAGGTAGAAAAGATGTTTCATTTGTGACTATCTGAAATTTTTTTACCACAAAAGAAACAGAACTCAAGTAGAAAAGTTACCGCAATCCCCTTATAGGAGAACTGTCCAAAAACAAACTTCACAGCTGCAAGTAAGAACCAGAGCTGAGTGGAAAATAAAACCCACACTGGAGATGACCTCAGTTCAAATAGTAACTGTTGTGCATCTCTGCTTGATAAATACTCTCATGTTATCAGACAAAGAGGACTGGGAAGAGGACTTCGCATCTTTTTCCACATTTAAAAAAAAATTTAAACACTATGTTTCTACAAGTTTACAACACAGGTTCAACAAATATTACTAATAAAACTGTGTGTTCAAAAACACAAGCAATCAAATGTAAAAATCCTGTCACGTGGTCCCAACGGGTCTCCTCCCAAAGTCAGAAACCAAGACGGGAATCAGATGTTGAAACTTTGTCTGGACAGACAGCATTAGTGTGCATCTTGTGTATGTGTGTGCACACTCATAGTAAAACACTGGGATTGGATTTAAATATGAACATTACAGACAAGTACTCAAGAAAACCTTTGGATCCACAATAGTACAATGTTAATGTCAATACGTTCTCATGTTATTTTGTAGGTGAAATTCTTTCTCCCCCTTTGGGGTGTGGATAATAGTTTCACATTTTAAAATTGTGAGCCGTTTCAGCATCTGATGCTAAACTCCCCACAAACTATCATTAGGTGCTGATAATGTAAAACTGGTCATGTCAGATGATGGGGTAACTATCACAGACAATGGGGAGTGACTAGGAACAATAATGGTTTAGGGTTAAAACTGGCATTAGCTTAGGAACAGAAAACAATGACAAACTAATTTAAAACCACATCTTTAGTCCGTTTCACCTCTGGCCAAGCTCTGCATCACTGATGGATGTGGTCAGACGTGTGCTGTCTTGCACCTGTATTCACAGCCAACGGCGACATCAGTGTCCTGACACACCCAGGAGTAGCTCTTAACAAGGTGAAAAGTTTAACATCTGGAGGTCAGTTAGTATTTCATCGATCTCAGAGTTGTCATATGGATATCCATTAGCTGTACTGCTTATCCGGCAGAGGGTCATGGGGCTGTCCTGCAGATAGAGGCAGGAATCTGTGAACTTTGCCAACGACCTATGAGCTGGATCTGAGGTAAATACTGCTTCTACTGCAAATCCAGCTTGATTAGGAGATTGCAAATGTAAAACTATAAATGGATGTGTAGGAGTGTATTTTAACTGAAAATATTCAATGTTCTGCTTTTATCTTTAGGACATGTGTGATAAAATAGCCGTCCCTGGTAGGCTAGTGGTTAAGGCGCAGCGCTCTCCCCGCTGCAGCCCGGGTTCAAATCAGGGTTGCGTCAGGAAGGGCATCCGGCGTAAAACACGTGCCAAATGTCAACAGGCGAGTAGTCAGTGTGACAATTCGCTGTGACAACCCCTAAGTGGGAAAAGCTGAAAGTGGCATACATACATGTGTGATAGAATACTGTACTAGGCTAATTAATTTGTTTGGGGACAGTGCAGAAGAGGTTAACAGAACATGTTGAAAGGGGACAACTATAGTGACTTCCACACATCAGGGATCCTAAGATTAGATGGTGGACTTTGAAAAGGAAACTTTCAGATGGTGGTTCCCTCCCATGTCATAGTTGTGAAGATCCATCAGTGCCTGGATCGCCTCCTCTACTGATGACATCTGGATTAAGGCCATCTTACGGTCCCTGATGAGGAAAGAAACTGATAAACGTTATGGAAAGTATATACAGTGGGTATGGAAAGTATTCAGACCCCCTTAAATTTTTCACTCTTTGTTATATTGCAGCCATATGCTAAAATCATTTAAGTTCATTTTTTTCCTCATTAATGTACACACAGCACCCCATATTGACAGAAAAACACAGAATGTTTGACATTTTTGCAGATTTATTAAAAAAGAAAAACTGAAACATCACATGGTCATAAGTAGCCAGAGTACTGACAGGAACTAGCAAGAGAGATCATATCTCTCCCATATTAGCTTCTCTTCACTGGCTCCCTGTAAAATTCAGAAAAG